ATGTAAAATCGTATTTACGATTAAAAGCGCCAAATATAATATTTTATACAACAATAATGTTTTAATATTATATAATTTTTAACAACATCATTTAACTTCAACGTTTGTGTATGGACTGTAAAAATAAATATATATCCAAGTCTTTATTCATCTGTGAAGACTTTCGTTTTCGAAAACGCGCTTCTAAAAACAAAAACATGGGGGGTAATTTACTATTACAGTATCGGTCCATGTCACTGTCTTCTTTATCTACAACCAGCAAATTGGCTTCATAGAGCTGCCCATTAGAAGCAACAACCCATAAGATATGTAGCATGTTATTAGTTCTGGACGCTCTAAACGCCGAGGATCATAACGCCGTAAGGATACAGCAAGCGGCCGTGGCCTAACAAATAAAATGCTCTACATTTAACCAGGAAAGATAAACTACGACGTGTAGTCACCTGATCATCTGCACAGGGTAAATGTTCAGTACCTTAGAATTTCGCTTATGCAGTGCCGAAGAAGAAAAGTCTTCTGGGAGGCTGTGCCTCGTACTGACACGTCGCAACATCGCAGAAGACTGTCCATCTTCAAAAACAACCACTACAAAATTTTATCTTAAGTTCTTATACGAATATGTGGGATCTGAAGATTTCACGGCGAAGATGGTGATCTGGTTATGGCGCCGTGTAGACTCACCGGTAGATGCCAACGTTTGGGAGAAACATAACGTCTCTATAGATGACTGCAGTCTGAGAGAAGTTTACTAACGTTCCAGACGTCCTTGCTGCCTCCATCATCAGGGCGATAAACTTCTACCAGACTACATGGCGCTACAACCCATCTTCGGACTCACCGCCGTGGGAACCTCAAATACTACATACTACAATATCGTCATTATTATTAATTACATACGGTAAAACAACATTGTGACAAGAAGTGTTTAAATATAGTGGGTATAGTACATACACAATATTATTCGATATAAAATTGAAACTACGAGATTATTAAGAGTTAATCTGTATTTATCGCGGCACAAGCTGTCTTCAAGGACAATGAAATTTTTAACAAAAGATAAAATTTAACTTGTGAACATTTTAAAAGCATATTTAAATTAAAATAATTAAAATGTCTTTTGCCCGTACTCCTTAGGTTTTATATGGTACATCAGGATCCAGCTTTCTGTGTGATCGCTTGATCTTATCCATCATCTGCAGATCTTTCTATGATTTGCTTTTTAAAAAATCTTGATTTGTTTTGTTAACTTTTCTGTCTCTTTTACAGTTCGGCTGTAGTTGATATTGTTTGTCTGTTCTCAGGCACTTAAATAAATGAACTGAACTGAATTTAATCAATTTATCTCGAAGAGAAAGTTGACTAACGATGTAAATCTGATAACAGATCATGAAAGTTTGAGATTTTTAGTATCGTAACAAGCAAAGTTATCAATGAACTTTACAAAACTAAAACAAAGGACACAGAGAATTATCATACGTATCAACAGATTTTTCAATTATGAGTTTCCTTCTTGTATTATGCTAATAATAAAACACTGCAGTTATTACAAGCCATTGGCATTGGATTAGATTATAACGCCGTGTAGTCTAGTAGAATTTACCAACGTTTCGGAGGTCCTTGCTACCTCCATTATCATTCTACTCTCCACTTACTGCCTGCCTTATGCAAGACTTACAAAAATGGTCAATCAAAATACGCTGAAGACAGCAACTACAGAGTTTACTGAAACGTCGGATAATTCTCAGTATTCGAAGCTGAAGTTACACACTAAATTCCAGCAACAAAGATATAAGAAGAAGAATAGTATTCATGCGAAATACTGACAAAATTCAGCTCAGACGCGAAGTGATTCAAAGGAGTCTCTAGGTGTTCTTTACTTTCTCCAGGCGAACGTCGGAATGGCGACTTTAATGCGCCAGGACAGATTCCATACAAAAATTCTTCGCTACTTTATCATTGTTCATACGCCACTCTTGTTCGACGATAACTCGTATAGAAGAAATACCGCATACTAAGGTCATCCTAACAGCCTTTCCTTAGTCTTTGCACACAAATGTTAAGATCGTGCTTCAAATGCGCTCTACGCACCTTTCATATAATAATTAGAATAACTAATTAAGTTATCGATGCTTTTACACAGTACATGAAACTATACTAGTCAAAATTTTCCGGAATCTCGGCCTTTCCGACTGATCAAATGCATTTCTGAACCCTCTTTCTACTACGTCTCACTTGGTGTAAGCCGGCCCTCCCACTATAACAATATAATCTTGCTTCGTAAGACCTTTACAAGCATACCAGGTCCTCAACATCCATTGCAATACTAACTACATCAAATTTATTGTCCACAATGTCTTGGAGCATTGGCCAAATTCCACCCCACAACTGATTCCCAGTAACAAGATCTCTTTTTTTACTTTCTATCTTCCTTGCAAATGATTTTAATTCCCTGTGCTAATGGTTAACAAAATGGGGCTTTGCTGACCAACATCCAGTGCGCCTGTTTCCAGCACGGTGAATATGTTGTCCAGATGAACTTGAGCACCATCAGCAGAGAATCTGAGGCACCCAGATTCTAAATTCTTTGCTTTAATCCAAGTTCCTAAATTTAACTGCTCCCTAATACTACCGCTGGCATTTACAACTCACAGTATACTAATCTCTTCCCTAGATGCCTCTAATCCTGTTCTGGATGACTGATTCTCCCCTCCTGATCCCTTGCATGCCTCTGGTGCTTAGAGGACATACAATCCCATGACATGCTTCAATCTACTAAACTGGGACTGGGGACTTGCATAGTTTATGTTAAAGTAGCAGCCACAGTTACATATTAAACCATTTGTTATTCACCCACAACAGAAACCACACTTTCCTCAAAGACTACCAGTAATGATCAATATATTAACAATTTTTTTTATTTAGTGTTCTGTCTGACGACAGGTCCATATGAACAGGATCCTTCCATCCTTTTCTCGGACTGGGACCTGTTCATATACGTTCATGGCAGATGATCCAGAAGTGGTTTGCCATTGCCTTCTTCTGTGTGTGAATGGCTGGAACACGGAGTCTTTTTCGTTCCCACTAACAATTATTGAATCATAATTATCTTCAGTTGTCACTTTAACATTCATTGAAATCCTACAGAACACTGTTCCAAGGTAAGAAGTAAATATACAATTTTACTGAATGACAATTAATTTCGCTTTTTACTTTCATATAATCTTAACTCCCCATTTAATGGTACCTGCACCTTTTCGGGGTGGTGGAGCTTGAGTACCTCAGTGACCCCCAGCATCTGCACACATCAGATCCAGAATA